GGGGGGGGCACGCGACCGCTCGAGCCCCCCAGTGGAGCATGACCTGCGGGGCGTAACGACGCGCCCAGCGCACCTCCAGCCCCCGCTGCATCGGACGCACCCGGCATGGCGTCGTCGCCCGCGCGCCCGAACGCGATGAACGTCCAGTTCTACACACCCAGGAGATCCAGAGACTCTTCGTCCGGGGCGTCCCCGTATGTGCCCGAGGGGGCCTCTACGTGGGCCCGACCTGCGCCCCACTGCGAGCCGAGGAGGGCCGCCGGGCTCTCCTACAGGCTCACCGCCAGGAGGCCAGGCCCCGCCGTGGGCCCCGCGGGCTCCCTAGCGAGGGCCCCGCGTGGCCCACAAAGGACTGGCAGGAGGGGGCCCGATGAGCCTGCGGCTCCCATCCCGTCGCTCACTGACCCACTGCACTACTCCTGCCCGTGCCTCCCGGCCCTCCTCACCTCACCAGGAGCCCCCACGTTGAATGGTCTCGAGCTTTTCTTACAGCGAGCAGAATGAGACATGTATGAAACTCGACCCCATCAAAAAGAGAACCGTGAGAAAACAAAGCTCAACTCAGCCCCTCACCTACGCCGCTGGTTATTTGCACCATTCTCAAACTTGGTTGGAATTCTGCCTTCCGCAAGGGGGTGGGGTGGGGGTGAGTGGGCCACACCGTCGTATGGCCCTCGGTCCCGCGGTTGTGCTTGCGCCGCAAGCCAGCCCCCCCCCCCCCCTCGATCGAGGCAGCAGTAGGCGCCATCTGTGCGCTTTACCCCCACCCCTCAGGTCATTCAACTTCAGAATGTAATGCAAAATACCGGCGTCAGCAGCCAGGCTCGCGCCTGGAGCTCCCGCACCCGGGGAGCACTTGATGGGGGTACACAGCACCGCACCTGTAGTTTTTCTTTCACACTTGACATCTCTGCAAATGCAAGTGCGCCTACTTGAAAAGTTCATGGACAGTTTTCCAAGACACGGTAAATGTCTTGCTCGTATTACGAGCGCGGTGACGGCAAACAGCGATGGTATTATCTCGCCGCGCCAGAGGTTTGGGAAAGCGAATCGTATCGACAGCATGCAGCGGGGTAACAACACGCTTATTTATGCGCTCAACGAGAAAGTGGCAAAACAAATGTCCGAAAACGGCTCCCTTATGGCCAGGCATACCCCCCCCCCCTCCCCCGTAGCACCCTGCGCCGACGCGCATTTGCACACACATGAACGACAAACCCACACCCATTTAGCAGGTGTTACATACGAGGGACCAGGTGGACCACTTCGAATGTCTGTGTGTGTGTGTGTGTTTTCTTATGCGCACGCTGGTTTCGTGTGTTCGCCTGTGTAAATCATTGTGCTAGTGTGTGCGTGTGTGTGAGCGTCCGTGTGTCTATATGTGTGTGTGTCTGTCTGGATGTGAGCCGGTCTCTTGGGGGCAACAACCTCTGTAGTTAGCAGCAGCAGCAGCAGCAGCAGCAGCAGTGGGACCCAAGCCAGGAGGGCAGTGTGG